AAGACACTGAAGGTCCGTGAAGGTCAGAGACTGTCCCCATCTTTCCCACCATTGTATTTGTTTGCATACTTTATCAGGCATGCAGTAGGTGCCCAATAAATACTGTTGAATGTCATTGCTGTTTCTGGGTCCATCCCAGCCACTAGAGGTGGAGCTCTTTGAGAGAAGGGCTCCTGTCCTACTTATCTCTGTATTGAGGGACCCAGTGTAGATCTTGGGGCCCAGCATAGGGTCTGGCACCCAGAAGGCAACTGTGAGCGTTAGTTGAATGAATCTATAAACAAAGGAATGAACAGATGCCACGTCCCAGTCAGGGCAAAGGAGTCAACCATAAATCCAAAACCCGATTCTCAGACTGTGAAAAGGGTCAGTGACAGGGGTAACGAGGGAACACATGGTTCTAGGCTGTGAGTCTGGAGGCTTGCCACAGTGCTCTAAGCCCTAATTTAAGTCTACTTAAAAGATAGCTGAGTAAGATTCTGGAGTTTAATGAATACTAGACAGAATTAGTGTTTTCTCCCCAAAAGCCCATTTCTCCAGTTTCTTCCCCACCTCAGGAAATGCCCCCCAGTCCAGCTGGTGGTAGCTCAGGCAGAAAACCTCAGCAGAGCCTTGCTGTCTTTGTTTGTGGGCCCCAAACATCAGCACGCCTGCTGGCTCCTCCCAGAATAGCCTCTGACTCTCCCATTTCTTCTGTGTCCCTGCAGTTGCACAGATCCAGCCACCCTGCCGTGGTGCCTCAGCTGGACCACTGGAGCATCTTCCAGAGGTCTTTCTACCTCCTCTCTCAGGCCCACACATCCTGTCTGCATAGCAGCTAGAGAGGTCTTTAAAAAACAGTGAATTTGCTCATGCTACTCTCCCTTCAAGCCTTCGAGCATATCCCATCACACCGAGAATCAAATCCACACTAACTACAGCGATTCCCCCAGGCCATCTACACCTTACCGGCCTGCCTTTGATATCACCTTGTCCCATGCCATCACACCTCTGCCCCAGCCCCGTGGTCCCTCAGTCCCTCTCTGTGCTTATTCCTATGTTGGACCCTTCATGGTCACTCTCCCCTCTGCCTGGACATCCTTCCCTGGATTTCCCGTGACTGTCTCCTTCGTGGGATCCTGGTTTCAGATCACATGACCACGTCTCTCTGGATAGCTCTTCCCTGACCATCCTCTACTGAAGACTGCTTTGCCCTGACACGGTTTTATTTTCATCAGAGTGCTCATTGCGACCTGAAATTATCTGGTTGATTTTTATGTTTGGTTTCCTCCAACTAGAATACCAGTCTTTTTCATGTTCTAAAACTATCACAGTCTTTTATTTACTTGTTTTTGGTTTCTGTCCCCTCCTTGACTGTGAGCTCCAAGGAGAGCCTTATCCAGGTCACAGCCCTACCCTGCTCTCTCTTAGCACTGTGCCAGGCACACAGTTGATGCTTATTAAATATCTGCTAAATGAATAAATGAATGGATGGATGGATGAATAAATTCCGAATGTGCCCACAGAATGAAGCTGGCTCATGGGGAAAAGTGAATGCAGCATTAATCACCATTACCATGAATACAAAATAAAAACAGAGAAGATCCAGTTTGCACAAACTAGATCATACCTGGTTTCCTGTACTTAGTTCTGGTTACCTCACTGCCAAGGGGACCAGCACACGTGAGGGGAATCTTAGAAAACCAGAGATGATCAGCTACAGAAATAAGAAATCCTAGGAAGAATATAGTTCACCATCTTTTAATATTTAAAGGGCTATGGAAAGAATGAGGGGATTGATTAAGTTTGGAGCCCTAAATCCACTGATCTGAACCCAGCTCAATGGGTATGAGTTTGACAGAGATAGACGCAATATAGGAAGAAAATGGTCTTTTGACAGCCAGCATTCATAGCAAGGGAAGGGGCTGCCTTAGGAGGTGGTGAACTTCTCCATCTAAGCAAGTGTACAAGTGGGTAACCACTTGGCAAGGATCTTGAGGAAGAGATTCAAACAGCAGAAGGTGGCCTCTAGGATCCCTTTCAGCCTCGAGATGTCTGGGGTTTTGTGATATAGAGGGATTGAGTCAAGAAAAAAATTTCTGGCTAGCTAGAGCTTTAGAATTTACTTATCTAGCCACTCTAATAGCAGAAAATATCACCCAAACTAGGTTTACAGATGAAGCGGTGGGAAGATTAGCTGAGAGGTATCATGAGCCTGAAGCCATCCCACAGGCACGCCGTACATACAGCACACAGGATTTGAAATCCATTGTATATGTGTGACCATTCAGAACATGGGGCTGCCCAATATTATAATGGTCCAAAAAGATGCTTCCATTTCCAGGGGAACATAGCCACACTATCTATCGCATAGTAGCTGAGATGAACCTGAGTTTGCTTTCTGAAATTCCACCACTTCTTAACTGTCAGGCCTCGGGCAGAGAAATGGACCCCTCCAACCCATGACCTCATCTGCAAAAAGGGATTCCATTTGAAAACCAGGGAGGGAGGACTCGAACCAAGAATGGCGCAAGTGTGGTCGTCAATGAACTGGAACCTCGGTGACAGACACCCAGACAGACATTCATCATCCTATTCTATTTTATGCCCGGGAACATCGGCATAATACAAAGTCAAAAAGAGGGGGAGTTTAAAATAGTACCAACCTCATGGAATAATTGCAGGGCTTAAAGAGATCATCACCATCATTATTATTACAAGGTAATAACATCGATATCATCGCTGTTATCGACACGCTCAAAGGCTTAAAGGGAGAGTAGCATGAGCAGATTCACTGTTTTTTAAAGACCTCTCTTTGTCTGCTGTGCAGACAGGATGTGTGGGCCTGAGAGAGGAGGTAGGAAGACCTCTGGAAGATGCTCCAGTGGTCCATCATGTTATCGATGTTATTGATATAACATCGATACAAATCCTAGTCATTACCGTTATTACCAGGAATACTTAAATATCCCATTGAATCATCCCAACAGCCTTCTGAGATGGCAGTAATCGTCTCCCCTTGGCAGATGAGGAAACTCAAGCTCACAGAAGTTAAACAGATCCCACAGCCCAAGCAGTGCGGCACGAGGTCTAAAGCCAGGGATCAGACTCTGCCATTGCAGCCGCCTTGACTGCAAGAAGTTTCTCGGGTTCTATTTAGTTGGTGTCCACACTGTTTGGACACTGGTTACTCATCTTATGGGGTGTTTCCCTGGCTCCCTTCTCAGCAGCAAAACCATTGTTTTTTTGTTTGTTTTCCCCAAATGTAGCTTATGGAGAACTCCAGGAAGCAACACCCCAAAAACACCAAAGAGCCTTCTGGCTGAAGTGGGGATGGGGGCCCAGCAACCAGGCCCCTTGATTCTAGGATGGCCCCTTGAAGCACCTGCGGGTCTTTGAGCAGAGTATGAAAACCCCCAATTGAAGCCAGCAGCAGTAACAAGAAAAACCCCCTGAACTCTGAGAATCCCATTAAAGGACAGCCTCCTCTGCATAATGCAGCTTTCGGGGGTGGGGGAGGGTCCTGGGTCCACTGCATGTGATTCTCCTTATCGACTCAGGTGGACCAAGCAGGCCATATCATCCTCAATTTGCAGAGGAAAAACATCAAGGCCAAAGGTGCACCAGTTCACTTCTGGGCCAAGTGCAGACTGGAAGTAGAGTCTGTCTCCATTAACTCAGTGTGACCTGGCAGAGAGAGTGCCATCTACTGGAAATTGCCACTGACCCTTGGTCCACAAAGTGGACAATCAGCTTCTTGGCCACTGAGAGCTGAGCACAGCCCCAAGGGCCCCCTGCCAAGGCCCTGTCCCAGAACAGATGGCAACGGGCAGGGGAGGGGTGCTCAGTGCCACTGGAGGGCTGGACAGCAGGATTTTGGTGGTAGACGGGCCATTCCCAGCCCAGCCATGTCGTGCTGAGCACAGGGCAGGATAAGCAATCACAGCCAAAGTGCCTTCCTCCTTTGTCTGCAGCCCAAGAGGGGACAGCAGGTAGGGCACACCTGGGTAGCAGTTCTGCTTTCCCTCTCCTCCTAGCTCTTTCATGGAAATCCCTGAAACCAGACACAATGGATAATTGCCTACATGGCCTCCCCACTCTAGCATCTCTGAGCTGAACTGGAGCATGTGTTGGAACAGGTGACACTTAATTATCACTTAGTCTTTAATTAGCGTTTAATTATTAACACTTAATCCATCTGTAAAATGGGGACACTAATACCTGGCTCATAGGGACCCTGGGAGGAGTAATTAATGTTCGCAGCCCACTCGGAGGATGCCCGACATTGAACGGGGGCTCAGCGGTGGCACTGATGACCAAGGTGCTTTACAGGCTTTTCTTAACGAGCTCTCTCCTTCCTCTTCTTGAGAATATCCATCCCCAACAATATCTGCCCAACATGAAACTGTGTTTCCCAGACACAGGATTTCCCATCCAGAAAAGGCCTATTTACAGCCATCTTCCCGCACTTCAATTTTCTATTGTGCCCTCTGAATATGTCAATGCCTTCCCAGTAAATATTTTGATGTGCGCTCTTGCAGAGGCTTCCGTGGAGGCTGAATGGGACAGCTGCTCCCTGTATTAGGGAATTCCAGATGTGGTTTAAAACTACCAGACTCATCTCTGCCAATGCCTAGCCTTTGGGGGTGGGAAAGGGAAAGTATCACGGAGTTGCCGCCAGGGAAAGCCATGGGCATCTGACCCTCAGCCCAGGCCAGTGCGGGTTTTCAAGGTCCTCAGATCTACATCTGGGTTGTGTAAGTAAAAGGGAAAGTGTCCCATTAGCAGGCTGGTAAAGAGGCAGCAGAAATACAGCCCTGGTCTCGCACTTCACCCCGTAACTTCAGGACCCCTCCCAGCCCCCCTATAAAGATTGGACAAAGGACCAAGACAGGTGGAGGAAAAGCATACAGCCTTTAGGGTTTAACCAGACTGAACAAGGGGCAAGAACATTCCCTCAGAAGCTTGGACCTCAGCTCCTCCCACTTCCCTTGATGCCAGCCACAGAGGGGGACACTCACTCTTCCTGGAAGCTGAGTCCGTTGTCTCTTGAAGTCCCAGCCACAGGGGTGGAGAGCTGTTCCTTCGAGGTCCTGGGTTGCAAGGCCTCGGGCAGGCCTTGAACTCTCTTCCAGATTTCATGGCAAGTCTTGTCTAAGCTGTCTTGGGGTGTGTCCTGGTGGATCCAGGTGTGTCTGGGGAATGGGCCCAGGGCGGAGGGGCGCTTGGCCACCAGGGCGGAGGATGAGGGGAGCCCATTCCCACTGGCCATCCTCCTCCTCTCTTTCCGGAAGCCCCTTTGTCCACCCAGGGCTCGCAGACAGGGGGACCATCCACCACCACCCCTCATCCACCAGAAAGGGAGATGAGGATGGGCAGAAGCAGGTCAGTTCTATCTGGCTGTTGCTTCAGCAAGGTTACTATGTGCAGAGGCCTAGGATTTGTGTGTGAGTGGTGGATGGGGGACAGCTTTCTTTTGGGGAGGGGGAGCTTATTTTGATTTGTTTTTATTTGTTCTTTCCTGACTTTTGCCCCCCTCCCCCTCTCCCTTAGAAGAAAATATTTGAAAGTCAACAAAAACCAGTAGCTTAGTAACTGTGGAATCCCCCTGAGCTCAGGATCCAGGCGCCTGGGCGGGCAGAATGACATCTGGGAACAGCTGGAGGGGGAGGGCGGGCTCTCCCCACAGTCCCTGGCACTCCCCCCGTCGTGATGCGCCCGTGACACCTTGAGGCAACTGTGGCTCAGCCCATTCTCGCTCGCCAAGCCGCGCGGATGGGCACTGTGCTAGGCGCTGTGGGGGCGGGGGCCCGCCATCAAGTTCTCAGTCAGGCCTTCCCAAGGACCCCCGCTCACTCGGAGGGCCAACGGCCCGCAGAGCCCCGCCTAGCTCGGCCCCTTCCCTACTCCCGGTCCCCCTGTCCAGCGCCGCTCTGCCTCGGCGGCTGGGCAGGAAGACCCCCCGGGAGTGTAGCCCCCGGTAGCCCGCCCGGTGCTCCCAGCAGACACCTGCCGCGTCCCCCGCACCCGGCTGCGCTTGGCCTGGGCGGGGGCCCCAAGCCTGAGCAGGGCTCTGTCTCTGCAGGCGGCGCAGGGCGTGGCGGCTTGGGCCGATATGCTTGCCTGTGGCTCCCACACCCTCCCCGTCCAGCGCCGGAATTCCTCTGTGGGTTTCAAACGCAACGGCTCCGGCTCCGTGCGCGGGCCGCCCTGGATTCCGTGCCCAAGGCGCCCCGGCAGGGTGGGGGTGGGGACCCGGAGGACCCCAGAGCATTTGCGCCTGTTGGAAGTCAAGGGCGCCGTGCCCCCGCTGCTCCGTGGGGGAAACCTCAGCTCCTGCCAAGGGCCCCTGGCCCTGAATCGCCTGATTTTACCCCAAACTGCCATTGTATTGGGGCTTACCTTGTGACAAGCTCTGGGCTTTCTGTGTTATATTCAAGGAACAAGTTCATGTAGTTAGTACCATTGTTTATGACTGTTCTGCGTTTGAGGAAACCCAGGCCCTGAGTCAGGAAGGGGTATGTCCAAGGCTCTCTAGGAAGAGGGGAGCTGTGAAACAAACCCAGCCCCGCCCCCCACATCGGTCCTGATCCTGTGCTTTCAAGACATTGAGATCCACCCGTCCCTCCTGAGCTGCGTGCAGTGGGTCCTCAGGGTGAGAGTGGGGTCAGGGCTCAGGTGCAGAGAGAAGGGCTAAATTAGCAGTTTGCGGCCCAGTGGGCTCCCCCATTCACTGGATGGGCTTCGTTAAACTTGGAACTGACAGCACCTTTGCCTGTTCAGAGTCAGTCCTCGTTCCTCTAGGGTTTCCAGAAAAGGGAGAGCTCAATGACTGGGGAGAAGATTGGATAGGAACAGACCCGAGCCTGGTTGAATCCCGACACGGCCATCTCCAAGCTGTGGGACCCCAACCACTTTTTAAACCTCTCCCATGCTCCTGCCTTCCTTCTTTCCTTCCCCAGGATCGACTGAGGACCTCCAGGTGAGTTGCTGGGCTCTGAGGAAGCACACAGGTGAACGAGATAGCACGGTCCTTGATTTCCTGAAGCCTATATTCTAGGGCAAGGAGACAGATCACAAACTAGCAAAGCAAGTAAATAAGCACTCAATAGAGATGAAACAAGGCTCTGAGGGGGCAGGGGGAGGGGAATGGTGGCTGCATTAGAGGGATGTCCTGGTAGGCCTCTTTGAGGAGCTAAGTTAACACAGAAAATGAGACAGAAGGAGGAGAAGGAATCCTTTTCTATAAAATCGTGTTGAAAAATTCTTAAGAAAACCACATATACAGCACATAGTAGGCACTCAATAAATGTGTCTTGGAATGAATTAATGGCATATCATTTGTAAAGAACCTGGCATACAGTAGGTGTCCAATACACAACCTTGCTCTTTAGAAAAGGCCTGAGTTCCTGGAAATGTTGACTCTCGATTTTGAAATCCAAGCTTCATTCCCCTTTGATTTTCATTATAAAATTGAAGATGTGCTCCTTTGGGGAAAATTCTGAGGACCTAGACTGAATAAAATTATAGTTAAGAATGTAGAAAACCTTTTAAGACAGTGTATTTAAAGGAGAAGTGATCATTTCTGATGAAATATTAATAGTTCTGAAAATGTCACTCAGTGTTTGTGCTGCTTGGCATTTGGTTGGCTAACACCTATGCTTAGAGCACAACGCCAACAACCCAGCACTGCCCAGGCCACAGGATTCTGGAAACTTGGCCAGCTCACTCACTCATGTTCTTTCTCCCCCTGTAGCAGGAGACTAGGCAGCAGGGGCTAAACTGGAAAGGATTGGGGAGGGGGGGGGATGCAGCAGGGATACAGAATAAAGATAGGGGCATATTTCTTGGAGTACACAGCTGAGGTTTCTAGAAGATTCTGCAAAAAATATAAGTGAAATAATTCGAAATAGTATAAAGCTATGTCTAATATGCTAGCTGCTAAACCACATGGGGCTATTTTAATTCTATTTTAACATAAATTAAGTTAAATTTTTAGTTCCTTCGTTATATCAGCCACATTTCAGGTGCTCTTTGTGGCTTGTGGCTACCATTTTGGACTGCAAAGAGAATATTTTCATGGTCATGAAACACATAGACTCTAGAACCAGACTACCTGGATGCAAATTCTGAGTTCATATGTTCTGGCCTGGGGATATTAGTTCTCTAGGGCTGCCATAACAAAGTACCACAGAATGGGTGGCTGCAAAAAACCATAGAAATTTATTTCTTCACAGTTCTGGGGGTTGGAATTTCAAGATCAAGGTGTCCACAGGATTGTTTCCTTAGGATGCCTCTCTCATGGGCTCCTGGATGGCTTTCTTCTCCCTGTGTCTTCATACGGTCTTCCCTCTGTGTGTCTGTCCTCTTCTTATAAGGATATCAGTCGTATTGGAATAGGACCCAATCAATGATCTCATTTTACTTTAATCGCTCTTTAAAGGTTCTGTCTCTACTTACAGTCATATTTGGAGGTACTTCCTGGGGAGTTAGGACTTCAACATATGAATTTGGAGGGACACCATTTAGCTCATAACACTTAGTCTCATCTGTAAAATAGAATGATAGTAAAGAACACCTGCTTTGTAGAATTGTTGTAGATATACTATTACTAGGTAATTGACACATGAAAAGTCGCTAGAATGTGGAGCATATAAGACATCCGTAAAAGTGCTGTGTATTAGTTCCTTTGTTGATTACACCGAAATGTGGACTACTGGAGTTTCTAAATAAAAGCTTTTGTGCTAGGTAGAGGGAGGGAGGACTTTCGCTGTCCTGGGGCAATTAGTCCGTGATGGAGGGACAGACTCAAATCATCCACTAAGCCTTTCTGGGCTTTGTGCATTTTTGAGCACCTGCCATGGGCCAAGACTGTACAAAGCAAAGGGCGAGGAGATGATAAAAACCTTTGGCTTAGACATTGCTACAGGCAAGTGAAGGAGCGAAGCGTTCCATAAATGCCTGGTAAACAGCAGATGTAGGGTGGAAACTGGACTTATTCCAGTCTTGTTCAATATATGTAGTGGGTTCCTCCAGTGCCTACGTATTTATGTGCCCAGCACGTGAAATAGTGTCCATGGCTCCTGCATGCTTCACTTCGAGCATTGGAAAAGGGCAGGGACCAGACCTGGCTTCGGCACCTTGAACAGTGGGTTCGATCTGTTTGGACACATTCTTAAATTACCTGTTACTGCCCTTACGACGCTGGGAAGATTGTTTAACCTCTGTATACCTCGGTTTGCTCATCTGGTGAAACAGGGATAATAAAATACCAACTTCATAGAGTTGTTTTGCGATACCTGAGATAATGCAGGTGCGGAGTTTAGGACAGGGACCCAGTGAATATTAGCTACCATATTTAGGATTCTGAGGTTCTTGCTTTCTATTTGGAAGCAAGAAAGCCTCAGGAAGAAGCAACTGTCCCTCCCTCTTCCCCAGCCCCCACTCACCTGGCTTCCATCACAGACACTAACATGGCCAGGATGGAACCCTCCTCCAGGTGCACATAGCCAGTGCTCCAGGAAGACCTTCACAGGCTGGAAAGCAGCTTCCTCTTGCAGGCCCTATCCCTCATCGAACATATTTGAAACACACCCACCTCTCACCACAAATATAACTTTTTGGCTGTAAAAGAAAAATTGAAAGGATTTTTGCCATTTTGCTTTTGAAAATTTTTGGCCATGAGTAATTTATTTAATTTATGGTCAGCTGTGATTTTTTACTGTGCTTGGTGCCTAGCTGGGATGTCTTGCACAGTGAGGAAACTCCAACCTACAGACTGTTATCAAATGTAATGAAATTTTTATGACTACTAAATTCAACCATTAATAAAGTTGACATGATGTTACATTTTGCATTTAATTAAATATTTACTGATTTTAAGGTTGCAGTTTTCTACTTTGTGTTGTGGAGCTAATAAAAACATGTTTAGGCCTCAGACTTTTTGTATGCCCCCGAAAACCCATAGAGAAACCCCCCTTCATTCCCAGGCCAATGATGCCCTAATGGGTCAGGCTACCCAGATTTGGGAGGGGCATGCATAGGGAGACCCCAGGTAAATTTCCTGAGGGACAAACCATCAGAACTGGAGGAAAAGGAGGGTGCAGCCATGTGTCACAGGAACAGGCCTTCCTGGATATTGTCCTGGCAACTGAACCCAGCCACAGAGCAGCCAGCCATTTCCAGGACTTTGAAAAGGACACCAGAATGCTCTGGAAACAAACCTGTGACTCTGGCTTCTCTCTCCTGGCAACACCGTCAGCAATCCTCACCATCGCCCAGGGGATTTCATCTCTTATTCTTGCCCCCATTCCTTGCCCACCTGTGTGGAGATTGTTAAGAGTTGAGGCTGTGGTAGGGGCACCTGGGTGGCTCAGTGGTTAAAGCCTCTGCCTTTGGCTCGGATCATGATCCCAGGGTCCTGGGATCGAGCCCGCATTCGGCTCTCTACTCAGCAGGGAGTCTGCTTGCCTTCCTGTCTCTGCCTACTTGTAATCTCTGTCAAATAAATAAAATCTTTATTAAAAAAAAAAGAGTTGAGGCTGTAGTAGCTGATAAACTTGAATTTGAATTCCTGCTCTGCTACTTACTACTGATGGCTTCACACATGCTTAACTCCTCTGGCATTTCATCATCTGCAAAGGGGTTGAAACAAGAGACAGGTGCAGAGGGGGAGAGGTTCAGATAGGAAAATGCAAAGTTCCCAGCATAGATTCCTGATTATTGTTCTTACCAGCTAGTAAAGTGAAAGTGGTAGCTTATGAGATGTCCATTTTTAAGTTAGGGAAAAGGAAGGCCATAGTTGATGGAAGGAAAGAACACGACTTGGCAGTGGTGTCCCAGTAAGGTAGCAAAAAAGTCAGAACTCATTTGGCCTTTCACTTCCTGCTCTGGCTTT